CTCTCAGTTTCACACTTCTCTCTAACCCAGGGAGAGCACTCCAGCTTGGGCTTCTGCCTCCAGCCCCACAGCCTTCCTGTCTTCCTCCCCTGGTCTCTCTCTGGGAGCTTTCTAACTCCTATGGGACCAGTCAATTATCACCATCAGCTGGCCCAGTTCTTCAAGGTAGGCTTGGAATCATCTTCTGTCTGCTTCCAGCTGGGCTGCAGCCCTTGAGGCATGCAGCCTGCTACATAAACATACAAAAGGCTTCTAGTAAAATGGTAGATGAACTATAAAATCTGAAAAGCATCAGGAAAGCATGGAATTCAGGCTGTAATCCCCATCTGATAGCCACAATCACTTTTATTACCATTGGTTTTAATTACGTTACTTTACTTCTAATTTGGAAGACTGCCTGTGGATTCTGGAGAAATATATCTGCCTATTCTCTACCCCATATACGAACAGGCAAAGCCACCCAAGAGTTGTTACCGATTCAGAGAGGATCCTTGCAGGAGAAAGTATTGTAGTTATTCAAATACAAGGGTTCCCCCTCCCTCCCCTCAACTGACATGGGGGAAAAAAGCCCTTTGTCTTATAATCGTATACAAGGAAATCTCACTAAATACATTGTCTATCATTAAACTGCTGCCAAAAGCAGCATGTGCTCAGCAATGGAAACCAACTATAAGTCAATTAAATGCAGCTAATGCTGACCATGACTACAAAACATGACACATATTAGGTAAACATACTGATGGAAAACTATCACATTAGGTTAGTGCAGCCCATCTGAATAAGGTATATGATAGTGCCCATTAAGAACAGGCTCCTTCAGTGCTGAATCTTTTGCAAGTCTGGGTGAACCACTACACATTGTATCCATTTTGACTTCTTCACTCCCACAAGTTGAACTGTTCCTTTCCTTCTCATTTTCAATGATTGCTATTTCTTCACCAGCCTTAAATGCCTGGAAAACATAATGAAATGGGGCTCCAAGTCCCTGTCACCCCCTCTCTCAGCCTGGCGCATGTAATTAGTGTGGCCCCCTACTCCATGAAGTGAAGCCAGACCAGGTTCCTCTGTGCCTCATCTGCACATACATTTTTGAAGCAACCCAGGACTCTCAACAAGAACAACTGGTTCCAGTCATGAGTGGGGGCTAATTAGCACGTAATCCTTTGCATGGGATTTCTGGAGTACACACACATACTGAATATTGTTGAGCTCTGAGGTCTCCCCAGCTTGGTCCTTTGGCCCTTGGGATAAGGGCAAGCAAGACTCAGGGGCATCTGAGCCCCAAGACCTCTGGGCTTGGACCTGCATATAGGATTGCCTGCAAATGGACTTGGGAGTATCTGAAGCCCCAGGCCGAAGAGTTTGGCATGGAGGATACTTGCCAGTAGTAGCATCACATGAACTTGAATGACTGAATTCTGCTCGGATGATAGGATTTGGAACTGATTTGGGCTAATTCGACCTGGAACATGAAATTAAAATTAAAAAAAAAAATCTACCTATAGAAACGTATTTTTGAAAAGAAAAAAAAAAGGCTTGTACTACATATTAGTAGCTGCCAAAGTACTGTTCAAATGTATGCAACATGCATCGATTCTGGATGAACTAAATGTATGGGTATCATATGGACTCCCTGTCCTCCCCAGATTTATTTTCCTTGCTGTAGCACTGGGAGGGGGACAAATTCAAGGCGAACCTCCAATAATTAGATTCTACACCTGGAAAATTATAATAAATGTATACATTTTTCGTATTTTGAACTTAATTATGGGGGGGGGTGTCATTTTATAATCAGGGTTGTTTTCTTTTCCAGTAAATTTGGTATATAGCACTTTTGATTGTTCACAGTTCTTTCCAAACATCAATCAATTTGCACAATTAATTAATGTCCAAAAATGGACACTGCTGATGCAAGCAGAAAAGCAGCATATACTGAACGCTGTCCAGTGGTATCTGATGCTGTCCAATGATAAGAATACCCCCTACCGACAATAGGATATAATCAACATCTTGTTAATATGGCGACTGGGAGACTACATTAAACTTTAATAAGTTGTTAATATTATCTCCATTATGCAGATGACAAATTGGAGAAGGAAAATACCTTTTCCAAGGTCTCACGGAATAAGCTGATAGAACTTGGGATGTGATAAACTGCTAAATCTGTGCACTTCCTTGCAGACCATCTGGGAGAGTTAAAGTACTCTGCACTTTTGATTAAGGAACACTTGATCATTTCTGATTCTTAGGGTATGCTATATCAACTCTATGATATGTTAAAAAATCTGTTATCTTATTGTGAGAATAATACTGAAGTTAAATATAAAACTGAATCAGCTTATCTCAAACAGTTGCAATAGTTACTTTAATACGTTTTGTAATCATGTACTTATGTATTAGAACTAACCTAACATGCTTGTTCTTTTACGTTCTTTTCTGACTCGTCTAATCAGCTATTAATTCAGAAAACACATTTCATTAAACATGCTTATTAAGTGGATTTATATCTGAGTTGATCACTCTAAAAACCAATTCTACAGCAAGTATAAATTTGCTTTATCTCTACCTTAAATTGGACTTACTTCCAGCTGAGGATCCAGACAAAGTATAATTCTGATCTGAGTTTACCCATACATAAAACCAGCATGACTTCAATACAATTACTTGTGATTTACAGATGTGTAAATCAAAATTGATGAGGTTTCATCTTATGCATAAATTTGACCCTTCACATTTATGTGCTTTTTTGCTGCATGATGTACTTCAATAGGACCCTAAACTTGTAGGAGGCCATGTCTATTGCCATCGGATGTCTGAGGGGTTGACACACCTGTGAAAACTTCTGGGTGGAAAGGCACTCTGAAATGATTCATCAATGCTCAGTTCATATTTATATTTACCATATGAACCTTTGACATTTCACTGTTGCATTGAGAAGAAAAATAGACACACCTGATGGGATTTTTTTTCCTGAAGTACTTTAAAACAAATAAAAAACAAACAGTCAGTGCTTTTTATTAGAAGGAAAAGTAAAGCAAAGGTGTGAATGTTTAAATAAGATTGTGTTTCACTGGAATCTGTGAAGGTAGCTCAGAACACAATGCTGCAGACCTTGCTATCCTAATACAATAGAAGCCTTTTAAAACATGCGGTATAAAGGATTGGAGTTTTGAAGTGCCTAAATATTTAGAAGACAAGTTCAAATGACTTTCAGTCAAAACTTGTGCCCCTTAATCCCAAGGCACTCTAAAAATCTTACTGAAATATTTTACTACGTCCGTCTCCTCATTTATTAGTTATTTTTTATTCTTTAGTTTTTCAGGAGCTAGGCAATGGTTTGGTGGCACTCCATCGCATTATAATATACCATTCAGATGTCAATACAATATATTCCCTAAATATTATTCCCACTAAATCACAATGAATGCCAATAACTATCCCCAAACTAAGTATATGCTATGTACCTGGGTGTGTAAGAGATCTAGAAACTGCATCTTTCTCATCAGCCATTGATAGCTATTTGCCACCTACTCTGAACTTTAACTTTTCAACCAAATAAATGCAAAGGGGACTTTTAAAATGTGAATAAAATAAAATAATAGATTGTTATTTCTAAAGCCCCGTTAATAAATTTACAAGCTGTAATGTATGATATACACAGGAAAAATAGAAAATTAAACTTGAGAACACCACATGAGATTTTTCTGTCTGTGAAAGAGGACAACCAATTCTCTCATAAGCCTAGAAACTGTGCTAAATCTTTCCATTTATAAATGTAAGAAAGAGCCATGCCATTTTTGAGACTTCTGTTGGGCAGCAATTTTTCCTCCTCCCTCTTTTCCTGTTTTAAATTTTAAATACTGCATAGGAACCATTTGCCCTGTGAGGTTCCCATAGTTAGGACCAAACCCTTCTCAGAGGAATTTTGGCACCTTATTAATTAGTTAGTTATGAGTAGAAGCTGCACTCTTTCAGTGACTCCTATTCTGCCATCAGTAAAGTGTGATCCCATAATAAATTTCCATCAAGCAAACTATTTCTGGTAATTCCCCCTAATTAACACCAGACTGTTAATAATAAATTAGCTCCTATGTGTTTCTGATATAACCAAGATCTTGCCTGAGCAAAAGATATTAACCCATGTCCTGAGAAAGTAAAGCACAAACCTAAATTAAGCTTTTGCTGGTAAAAGGATTTATTTGCAATTTTGCGAGAGAACCTTTGAAGATCTTATACAGAGCATTATGACCAGCAAACATTTTGACTGACAGAGATTTGTTCTGGCTTGAGCAGTGAAAGGGGATTTGTTGTGAAAACACACTGTTGAGTTTTAAGCCTATAAATCTTACACTGGATTACAGTGTCTTAATGAATGAATGACAGATCTCTTATTTTTTGTCGGACCATTTTAACGCTAAATGACGTTGTGATTAATAGAAACCAAAGCTTTGCCATTAAAATGTCAAAGGTAGACTCGATGCCTTTAAAAGTTTGTCTTCTGGAGTTTAATATACTGTTTGCAAATAGACTTGCATTTGTCTTATTTATAGCCTAAACACTGAAGGAGAGGCAAATTTTCTGTAAAATTGCCTCTAAATTTTATAGAGCCATGTGCAATTTTCTCCTCTGCTTGTACAAATAACAGTAAAAAAACAACAGGGCCTTTGCCTAGTTAGGAGATTCTCCCAGTTTTCACAAGCTGGGTAACTGCCCACATTACAGTAGATAGTTAAGTATTCCCAGGTGAAAGCAGAGAAAGCTTTATGCTGTGGCTAAATACAGTATCAGATAATGCTCCTCTTAAGAGATAGGATTGCTATGAACAGCGTTAGTCCAACAAAAATATCAACTGCATTCAAATAAACACTACAGAATAGTCTGGTTTTGGCTAATGTTGTGGAACAAAGAATGCTACATCAATAGGAATGGGCTCGTGTTATTGTTGTGTGCTACCTTGTGGAAATGTGGACAACAAACAAGCAAACAAACATTAAAATAAATACAATTCCAGAGCTATTTATTAATATGCGTACATCAGGATATTGCTTCGTTGTTTGTGCTTTTTATAGACATTTTTTCAAAAACAAAACTAAGATTGAACAAAGATTTGTTTTATGAATTTTGCAAAGGTGAACAAACAAAATTAGAAGGCAAAGAATAACAAATACAAGCGAACAAACCAGAAAAATTCTTTAGCTGTTGATTGAAGTAAAGCAAGATGAAAAAAAACTATAATCTGTGAATTGAAATATTTTCCCTTTACTGCTCTTAACCAAGCCATTTCTATTATCAGAAAATGCTAGCAGCTCAGCAAATGCAGCCAATAATGACTGCTCAATATATAAGCGCATACTGTACCACTAACCATCTTTTGCCTTTATATTTGCAGCAGTGTTAAATTAAAATGTAATTGTTATTTACTACTAATTCTATATCATAAATTAGTTAGAACATGCAAAATCTGCCATCTTGGTTCAGTTATACATCTTTAAATCCCTTTTACCTCAGACACAGAGTTTAGTCCTGTCCTCCAACCAGCCTAGTTTGAGAAATCAGTGACTGTATATGCATGCAGCGGTTGATTTTCCAAAAAACTGGCACATCTACAGGCACACCTGATATTTACTGGAAGGCAGATTTAAGCCCCTAAATTCTAACATTTGTTCAAAGGCTGGACCCTCAATGAAGCCAATTCTGGTGAAAAATAGTTGTGAAAATTGTGAAAACCCTAGCTTTCAGCACTGCTCAACTAGCTGTGCTGATCTGCTACATCAAGTCTGTCATCAGAAAAAAAAGTGTGTGTGTATGTGTACACACACACACACACACACACACACACACACACACACACACACACACACACACAAATCTAATGATTTTGGAGGTAAATAAGCAATGCTTCCTTAAAAATAAAATCAAAGATATTAATATGAAATACTCCTACCCACAATAATAAATATTCAGTGAGATGCACAGCATTATAATAAAGTGCCCTACTAGAATCTCACCTCTTAAAAACATTTATATATTGACATACTGATCCTTTGGGTTTCTGCTGTAATTATAAAATGTGTTACCTCCCTTTAATATTAAAATAGATATCAGTGATTTTAAGTTATTAAAAAGAAAAGAAAACAAGTCCAGAAATAGAGCACAAATTAAAAAGTGAACCAGCTGGTTAAAGAAATGCTATTAAGCCTTTCCAGGCTATGTTCTTAGCAACTGGGATAATTCTAAATCCTGGTCCACAAGGATTAAGAAAGATGATTCCAATAAATGTTTCAAGTGAAATAATTTTAGTACAACTCCAAGCAGAAAAAATGTGTTACCTCTTGAAACCTATTGCATCCCTCCACTTTTCATATATTTTTTTAATTGCAGAAAGTGCAGTGCACTTCCAGCCTAGCCATTCTAATCTCCTTCCCAAATATGTGCTATGAATTTCTGTTGGAAGTATTTATTTGAGCCCCAGCTTTGAACATTCTAGTTGTTTCAAAGGCAATCAGTCTTCCTGCTCAAAATTATTCTTGATTCCTATACATTACCTGGCCTGCCTTCCTGTTCAAAAACCTACTCATCTCTTGATTGTTCCATTTTGTTTATTGGAGTTTTTTTTGGCCTATCCACATCAACCACATCTAGAAGACTGTAAACATTTTAAGTTGCTTTACAATATTTCTCCCATATCACTGGAAGTTAAAGTGTAGAAGTGTTGAGAAAAAAATACCCTCACGAAATACAAATTAAATACTACCTATTGCACAGCCCTGTCTCAGTGAATTCTTCTGAATACTACGGATCCTTTTAGAGTTCAATACAATAGGTTTGTCTTCGTATATATTCTACACAAATATTTTCTTTACTGAACCATGGCAAACAAGAGTACATGTCAATTCTTTTCATTTTATTTTCCTCATACCATTACTAATAAACTTTTCCTTAGTACCAATTCTAAAATGCAAATGTGTACTTAACAGAAAGGCAACAAAGACTATCTATCTAACTTCTCTATTTAATCAGGCAGTATATAAACCTGGCTTCAAGCAGGATTCTCATTTGGGACAGAGAGGACCCCTTCTCTGTTGTCCAACTCTCCTGGAGTGAAATTCACTCTCTGGAGAGAGTCAGTTCCTTTCTTATACATCTACAATACTACTTCACTGGTGTCTAGGCTTTGTTCTGGCTCTGCACAGGGGTGATTTTCACATTAATCCAGAGAAGATGTTGGCAAAGTCTGTTGGTTTGCAATATGTGCATAATGACAGCATTATCTCTGTTCCTTTTCAAGAACTGAGACACACTGAACTGCCTAACTCAATATTATATTATCCAACAATCCATTCTTTATGACTAGAGGAAGACTGAAAGAGAGAATGAGCTAAACAAATCCTAGCACATAAACAAGAAAATAGCTTGCACTAAACAAACAAACATCATATATATAAATATATATATATTCATGAGCTACATCACAGAGGCCGTGTTGGGAGAAAACAAAGTCCTGAGTTGCACTTCAGAACTTTCCCTCATAACAGAAGGAAGAAGCCTCATCTTCTGGATACAAAACGTTGTTACATACAGACTTAACATAGTTTCTTTCCCTTTCTTCCTCCCCCAAGCACTTCTAATTGCTGAACTGTGAGCATAAAAGTACAGAAAATATTAAGTTTAAGATCTGATTAGACAGTTCCTGTCAGATGCAATTTCATACTCTGACATTTTTGGCTAGCATTTTGGTGATATGCCACATCTGAAAGAACAGTGTTCCATGTGTCTACTCCGAGGCTTGAGGGGCACTTCTTAAATCATTACTTTCCATTTGAATAGCTATCCCATAATTTGGAGGTCACATGTAAATCTCCACACTGTTCTTTGTGGGTCTATTACAAATTTGATTACCAGGGGCTTCATGCAGTCCTGTGAGAGTGGACGACAAGCATGGACCATGTGAGAGTGTTATCCAAAGTGAAGATTTCATGCATTAAAACATGTTCCATATATCTTAATCCTTATCTTTAAGATTCTTTTTTCAGTGCTAATACTGGATTTTAGTTTTAACATTTTTAGATATGTTTTCAGAAAAACATTCATACCTCTAATATGATTTGGATATCTAAGCCAATAACCCCTTTCTTTCTGAATAGCAGCAAAACCAGGTTTTATGATAGCAGGTCTGAATTTGTAACTGCTTCATTACTGATATTTAAACAAATATAAATTTACCCATATAAATAATGAGACCAATACAGGAACATGCTGGGTGTGAAAATACAATCATCCTAACAATTAACTCTTAGCATTTAGGCTACCCGCCCTCTTTTTACTGAAAGAAAACTGTTCTTTGAGAAACACTCTCACATCTCGCTTCTATTTCTAAAAAGATGTATATAGGTAACAAACAATTCATGGAAAATGGACAGCCAATGAATTCCAATCTTCCTCTCAACTCCTTAAGTTTAAGATGTGGCCTAAGAATCAGAAGTTCACAGAGTGAGCATGTTTCTTGCATAGTGGCTTATCCTTCTTGGAGAAGAAAGTTTGACCCTCCAGGCTGTCACAACACACCTGAAAGGAGATTGAGACAAAAAAAAAAGCGCCCAATACATTATTTAGAATGCCAAATCAGGGTCAACACACATGGAACAAGGATTGTTATTCATTATTCAGGAATATGCATTGCAGGTGGACTATTAAGCAGTAGTGGTCAGTGTCAGCTTAACCGTTCCCCTAATGAAGTCACTAGAATTTTTTCAGCCCAATGGAAGCACAGTGAAATCAATATTGAAAATTTAAAAATCCCATTGTCAGGTATTGTTTTTCCTCCTCATGCACTATAAATTGAAGTATAACAGCCCAAAGTTTTAAATTAATCTACAAGATGTTCGTGTAACTTGATGTGAATACAAATGACACTTTTGACATTCTAGATGCACACATTTCTTTATAGACTTTTAATGCTACCTTCAAGCAGTAAACATCAAAGGTTAAACGCTAGTACATGTGGCCATGGACCAAACCAAATGATCTGTACAGGTTCCAAAATTTCACAATAGCAATGCACCTTCCAAATAACTGTGAAAGTGTTTTTTGTTTAGGTTATGAGGATAAAAGACATTTCAGCTGTTACTCCTGTATTGACCAGGTTAGCATAAGCACTGCTGCCACTGATATGTTTAAAATGCAGAACAGTTTTACTTACCGAGCACACAAAACAGGTGTCATGCCAGGTGTGGCCCAGGGCTTCAAGAAATTTGTCACCAGCTTCAATGGGAAATTCACAGCCATGGCACATGGTACCAAAGAGGGAATAGTAATCTGTACCATACAAACATAGTTTTATAGTATGAAACATGAGTGGGAAAGCAAGACTTGCAAGTCATTTTGTTTTTCAATAGGTGGCAATGTGTTTTGCCTTTGACCTGCCAAGTTTCATAATCTCAGGAACAAACCTTCAGGGGATGGGCACACTAAATTGGGAGTTCCTAGGCTGACAGATGTGGAAAGTCTCTCTACTCACAGCCTGATTCTTTTTGCAGGTTCCTTTTCCTTCCACAAAGGGCCAGCACAAGATCTATGGACTAATTGGGACCCATGCAAGTGTTATTTTGAGACCTGACATTGTCCATGCTCACCCTCCACAGGGAGTAAGTTTTCCTTTGAAGGGAATATTTTTAATCTACACTCAGGTACAATGGTAGTTGCCGTGTTTAGCTTGGTTACTGCTTAGTATCATCTAGTTTTCTGGTTTTCCTTTTGAGGCATCAGCAGTAAGTAAGACAATTTAAAGCAGGTGTTGGCAACCCCCTGCACACATGCCAGAGTAGCACGCAAAGGCATTTTGCTTGGCACATGTGTCTTGGGGTGGATGGTGGGAGAGCTGCGAGGGACCCTATCTTTGTTGTGGCAGTGCAAACCCAGCTCCTTCCCCACTGTCCGCTGTGAGGCATGTGTGCACTCACTGCCACCAATGAACTGGACTGCAGCTCCCTGGACCCCGGTGCAACTGCTTGTAGCCTTCCTACCACTTGCTGAAAGCAGCCTGGGCTCTGTGGCAGGCAGCAGGGGCCTGCCTAGAGCCAGACCAGCTGTGATTGACAGCCAGGAAGCTGCAAGCAGTTGCATTGCAGTCCATGGAACCCTGACCTGGGTTGTTGCTGGTGGCAGATGCACGTGCACCTTGGCACAGATGGCTGCTACAACAAGGATCAGGACCCTCACAGCTCCCTTGCCATCTGCCTCTGGCATGCCAACAACTTACAAGTGGAAGTTGCAGGTGCTTTTGGCACCCGGCCCAAAAATGTTTCTAACCCCTGATTTAAAGGCTTCAGCTCTTTTTCTCCTTCATGCCTTGGATACTGTGACATAACATATTTTTTCTCCGTTTTGTGCTTCACATAGGACTATCGCAATATACCCTTCTGTTCAACCTCTTAATGCTGACAGACCAGTTAGAACACAGGATGCTTGGACATCCAGCATTTTAGGCGACTGTGAAGCTATTTAATCTAGGTGTCTACACTTGAAAGCTGGACACTGTAGGCTAAAAGTACAACTTTTACATTTTCTAATAAAACCCTTACAAATTAAAAAACTGGGAAGAAGGAAAGATGGGTAGGGCATGTACTCTGTGCCTCTCTGAAGTGTGCCATAGGTTCTTTAACCACATTAATAGAGAGAACCATTAATATAGAATTAATGGTTGCATGTGAAGGGGAATTGCCCACTTTCCAGTGGATGAAGTTCCCTCAAATTGACATCTTATTTGAAAGCTGGCACCTATACAAGAGATGACTGCCACCAGTGCCATGCATTATGAACATATGCATGGCATATGTTAGCAAGTTAATATGCTAAGTTAACTTGTACAAGCAACCTTCTGACCCAGAAACAAGCATACTACAAAGATACTATATATGGAAAATGTATAATTTGTCATAATTTTCCATGTACAGAATCTAATTATTGAATTAGGGTGATCTTAAATCCTTTGTTCAAGCCCCTGTTCAAAGCCCCCTGATTGTCACTGCCTACCCATCCTCAGCCAAGTGTCTGTTCAACATGCTCATGAAAATTTCCAACAATGGTGATTTCACAACTTCTCTAGGTTGCCTGTTCCAATGCTTGGCTATCCTCATAGTCAGAACGTTCTTCCTAATCTCCAAGCTAAATTTCCTCTGCTGCAGATTGAGAGGCCATTGCTTCTACTCCTGGCCCTAGGGCCACAGAGAAAAACCCATCTCTATCCTGTCTGTAACTCACCTTCAAGTACTGGAAGACTGTTATCAAATCCCCTCTCAGTGTTCTGTTTTCTAGACCAAATAATCCGAGATCTTTCAGCCTTTCCTCATAGTCTTGCTCTGTCCGGGACTCTTTCCAATCTACCCCTATCTTTTTTGAAGTGTAGGACCCAAAACTGGACACTCCTGGTTAGGCCTCACCAGTGCCAAATAAAGGGGAAGAATCACTTCCCTTGAATTGCAAATGACACTTCTTTTGATGCAACCCAGGATACTGTTGTTTTTTTGGCAACGAGAGTACTGTGGGCTCATATTCAGCTTACGATCTACTGTAACCCCCAGGTCCTTCTCTGTTGTACTGCAGTCTACCCAACCATTTCCCAGTTTTTATTTGTACATGAAATTATTTTGTCTCAAGTGCAGGTCTTTGTACTTGTCCTTGCTGAATCCCATCTGATTGATTGTGGACCATTTTTCCAGTCTATGCAGGTCATTCTGAATCCTAGCCCTGCTATCCAGTGTGTACACAGTAGTACCCAACTTGGTGTCATAAGAAAATTTGCTAAGTATGCTTTCAATTCTATCATCCAAATAATTAATAATGGTGTTGAACAATACCAGACCTAGGACAAATCCCTGGGGAACCCCACTTGATAACTCCTCTGAACTACAAATTGAGCCACTGATAACTACTCCCTGAGCACAATGATCCAATCAGTTCTCAGAAAGAATAGCTAATGGCTCTGCAATTACCTCAGCCAATTATTCCAGTATGCTAGGGTGCATCCTATCTGACTTGAAAGCATCTAGCAATCCTAAGTAATCCCTAAACTATTTTTCTACTACCCTAGACTGTTTGTCTCCCTATCTCTATCCTTATCTCTGTTTGCAAATACACTGGTCATTTGATAGCTGCCCCTATATATGAAGGATGACATAAAAAAGGCATTAAATACTTCAGCTTTCTCTGCATCATTTATAACTAGATTATCTTCTGCATTCCATAAGCAAACTATAGTTTCTTTGCTCTTCCTTTTACTTTTCACATACTTGTAGGATCCCTTTTTATTATCTCTTATGTCCCTTGAAAGTTCCATCTCAAATCATAAGTTGGCCTTTCTAATCGTCTTCCTACATGCCTGTGCACTTCCACAATACTACGGCTAAGTTTCTACTTCTTATAGGATTCCTTTCTTGAGTTTCAACTGGTTAAAGAGATTGCTGAGTAATCAGTCTGGCATACTGTTGTGACACAAAAATGGGAAGGGCGTCAGGGTAGCTTGTTCCTGTGTCCTTAAAAAGGCCTCCTTAATATCTAGCTTCCTTAAAGTATAGGTGAGAGGCATAGTGAACTCATTCAGCACCCAGGTCAGTTGGTGGGAGTATGCCAAGCCTTGTAGATGGAGGAGTGCAGGGAAGGGACTCCTACATGACGAGGCTGTTACTGCTGCCACTGTTTCTGCAGTAGCAGTTTGGGCTCTAGCAGCAGCAGAACCATGGCATGGGCACCCTGGGAGCTGCATCTGGAAGTTTAGCAGCAGAGAGTGGCAATTAATAGGGCTGTGCGAAGCTTCAGTCACTGATCTGATTTGGAAAGACTCAATGATTCAGACATAGACACAACTTTAAATGTTTTTTCTATACAACACAAGGAACCAGGTGGCTCATGAATGCTGAGATGCTGGGGCGGATGGAGTGTCTCACAGGAGTGCGGGGGGTCCCCAGTGCACTTGGCACTGGACCCAGAAGTGGACCAGAAACACTTCCGGTCCACTTCCTGGTCTGCAAGGGAGCGTGCAGGGGACCCCACCCTGGCTTGGTGACTGGTGCCTCCTGGGTGTGGGGGGGTACCTGGGGTCCCCCCGTGGCCAACTGCTGATTTGCGGATTGCCGGGGAGTACAGGGGGGATCCCCCGCATGCTCATCAGCAGACCCAGAAGTGGCCCAGAAGTACTTCCAGGTTTGCTGCCGAGCAGGCAGCGCCCCCCCACAAATGTTCCTGTGGGACACACCATCTGCCCCACCATCTCAGCGTTCACAAGCCATGTCTGGTACCTCGAAGTATGTAGAAAAAACATTTAAAGCTGTGTCTGTGGCCAAATTGCTGATTCTCTGAATCAGGACTGAATCTTCAGAATCTCCAGATTCAGATTTGGCCAAATCTAATTGTGACAGTGATCTGAATTAAATCACTGTCCCCAATTTGGGCCAAATCTGAATCTGAATAAAATACTGCACACCCCTAACAATTAATGCTGCCACCACTCCCTTGCCACCAGATTTCTGGACCTTGGGGAACCCCATGGGCTGTATGACAGTTCCTTGGGCCAGGGGTTAAGCACCTCTGGGCTACACTGAAATGAATAGTTAACAAGGGCTAGTGGGAAAATATCTGTCAAAGTGAAGGAGAGAAAAACAAATACCTGGATATATATTTTTTTAAAAACCCTAGCAGCAATCTTAGCTATGAATTTCCAGGAATTAATGGTTGTTTTTTAAAAGCTCACCTGTTTCACAGTACGGATCCCCATCTTCCAAATGAAAGACATTATTGCGGATGGGATTATGACAGGCCACACACACAAAACAGGAAACATGCCAAGTTTGTTTCAAAGCATTGATGACTTCCTGTTGGGGATTAAAAAATAAACATTAATAAGGTAACCTTGCTGCAATGAGTGAATTGGGATAATCATGTTCTGAACTCGGTGTTTTGCTTATCAAAATACTTTGGTTTTGTACTTTACACATCTTGGTTGATATTATGCATTATAATCTACTCTATTTTTGTTATGTGTGTCCCTATCTGTGAGAAAGGACTGGCTGAAAATTCTTTGGATGACATGTGAGGAGCTGAAATTTAACAGTATCAGTTCTCTTTGCAATAGGTTTCCATCTGCGGCAGTAAGCAGATGCTGGGGAAGTTTGTCACTTATTCATATTGAGCAATACACATCTCTGAAAGCAACCCCACTGATTTCAGACAGACAGTATGTCTCAACTTTCATGAAGTCTGGGAATAATTAATCAGAACATGTTAAAGAATTATGATTACGTTGTTCTGTTTTGAAAGACGATATAATACTGAATGTGACTTGAGGCCTGCAGTGCCAAGGCCGCAAGTTTGCACTTTGAGATGAAAAGGAATTTTTCTTCCCAACTTGGTTGGGAATATTTCACTGCACCTCAAGGCCAGCCAAAAAACACATCCCACAATGTCCAGCAAAATGTGATTATTTCTCCTTGTTTTACATTTTTCTCTTTAAATTCTGTAAGAAACTGCCAATTAAATCTCTTTTCCTAAGAATAGCTAAGAACTGAAGCAGCTACTAGGAGAAAAGGCTGAACTCTGGAAAGAGAAAACTACAGATTCTCTTCTTCAATAATGCCAGGGATCAAAAAGGGCAGACTGATATTGGAATGGATAGAACTGTATATCCTATAGCCTTATTTACATAATGTCAGCTTTAATGGGGCTAAACCAGTTATAAAAGAGGAGAAACTAGCTACAAAAAGGGCATCTAAATTCTGACAGGACCATGGTAAACATCCTTCAATATACATATATGTCTCATCTAAATACCTTCTCTCTCTCCACACACCTATACATACATACATGCATACACACACACACACACACACACACACATATATATGTATTTAGATGAGATATATATGTATATTACAGGATGTTTAACCATGGTACTACCAGAACTTAGATGCCGTGTGTGTGTGTGTGCGCGCGTGCGTGCTTCCCTACTTGTGCATCTTAACCCAATGTATTGTAAATGGAAAAGAACTTCATTGGACTTGCTACTGAAAAAGAACAAAATGTAATGATCTGTAATAAAGTTTTTCAAGCAGGCAAATATTTTCCATTACACATAGAGAAGTGTTGTCATTAATAGTCACCATTTATGTAAGTCATGCATGGCACTGATTACTTACTCCAAGTATCTTCCTCTGGCACCGAGAACACTCAGGAGCAAAGAACTTTTCATAACAGACCTCACAGTAGAGGGCCCCTTTCTCTTCCACAAACCCAATATAAGCCATGGAGGTTTTGCAGTGGGCACAATTAAACTCCTCTGGATGCCATGATTTTCCCAAAGCCACCAAAAAAGGTCCTCTGGTTAAAACAGAACAGACTAGTTTAGACAATGTTATGCCACTGTAGTGACAGCAGTGGGAAGTGTAAATAACTGATTTATGTAAATCACTGCTAATGGCTCTGTGATATGAATTACAAACCTTTATCAACCAATATCTTTTGCACTGTTGAATAATTCTGTGCCCATTTTAACATATTTCAAATTATGCCTAAAATGATCTTTGGTCATAATGTGTGCTAGTGGCTTTTTGTTACACTGCATTTCAGAGTTTTATTTTTGAACACTATAAAATATAGTGCTAGAGTGCTGGTCATTGTTTGGGAAGAAAAAAAAATGTCTCTTTGCATTCCAAACTATTTCCATCCATTGCAAAAAAAGAAAGATACTTAATTTAATTATACTTTCCTTCAGCGTACGTTTGTATCAAGGTTACTAATGTTAAAATAGATTTGGCTCCATTAAGACCTAATAAGATCAGTTCCCCTGGAGAAGAAGAAAAATTCAATAGAGGTTTTCATGCAGCAAGTTTATTACAGGCATTAACTATGCCAGGTAAGACATGGCAATTTTCTACCATCATCAAAAGTTAGGCAAGAATATTCCATGCTCAGAATAAAAGAAAAAAAGTCAAGCTATCATCATTTATTTAATATATGCAAAATGCTGAAGCTTCTAAAACACTAATTTTGGTACATCAACTATGTTAATCTGGGATCACAGAATCATAGAAATTAAGGACTGAAAGGGACCTTGAAAGATCAGAGTCCAATCCCCCTGCTCTGGGCAGGAATACCACTGAGATCAAATGATCCTAGCAAGCCTGGTTTTCTCCGTCATCCTGGTTTTCTCGGTTTAAAAATCCAAATTTTTTTGATTAAAACCCCTTAAAATCCACGTTTTTCTGTGGTTAAAATGAAACACCACTACATATACAGGTATCAGTTAGACACAATTTTTTATTGATATATTTACAATTTTAAAGCAGACTGCTGGTGCCCCTCACTCCTGACCCTCTGCCCCCCACCCACAGTCCCCCAGTGTGTGGGATAAGGAGGGGTAGGTGAAGCTAGGCAGAGATGTGTGGGGCAGCAGGGGTGCCCCCCCGCCCAGATTTGTACACCCACAGCGGGGCTTAGGGCTACAGCCTGGCTGAACCGGCATGGGCAGGAGCCACCTCCATGGCCCAGCTGGGAGAACCTGGTGCAGGAGGGCAGGGTGGGGCAGCGAGTCTTGTTGCCACTGTCACCAGGACCCCTACACCAGCCATGCCGCCAGCAGCACATGGAATAACTGACTGAGGGGGTGAGACTGCACTGCCCTCACCTCTTCCCACTGCCAGTTGCTCACACGCTGGGCTGCAGCTCTATCCTGCTACCATGGCCTGGCCACTGCCACTGCTGCCACTCCCCTTAGGCCACCTGCACTGCTCCCCACCTCAGCCCACCTCCCCTCCAGGGTAGAGGCACAGCTGAGTGAGTGAGCAGCTGGCAATGGGAGGAGGTGAAGGCAGTGCCTTCCCCTGGTCTGTTACTTAGTGCATTGCTGTTGGCACAGCTTGTGCAGGGGTCCCAGTGGCGGTGGCAGCAGCAACAAGTCTCACCACCCTGCTCCACCCTCCCCTACTGGGCCATAGAGGTGGCTCCTACCTGTACTTGTCCAGCTGGGCTGCAGTCCTGTGCCCGCTGTGGGAGCAGAAATTTGCAGGGCACTTGCCCCACAATAGACTTACCTGTGGGGAGCTGTGGGAGCTGCTCTCCACCATGCTGCCTGACTACTGCAAGCACGTGTGCATGCGTACACGAATGTGGTGTCCCCTACCTGTGGTCACATTTCTCCTGCTCCCCCCAGCCCCAAGCAACCCCCTGCAGGCTGGAAGAGTTCCAGCCTGCAAGGGGAAACCCATGGTTTCCCATGTTTTTCTCCTTTAAAGGAGAATATCCATGTTTTTCCATGGTAAATGGAAAACCCAGATCCATGGTTATCAGGCAATATGAATCAATCTAGTGCATTAGTATCCACCATATTACCAAATGAAAAAAGAAACAACATAAGGACTCAGAACATTTCTGGAGTAAGACAGCAATTTTTGCTTACTACTAAAACAACTGGAGAAGGGAGAGAGAAGGAGATGTATTTTTGCAATTAATTTCAAGGGAAGAGTGGAGTGAGGAGACTGGAGGTAACCACAGGATTGGAAAGTAGGTGGGAAGAAGAGAGTGGGGAATTTTACTGAAGGAAGGTGTGGATAATTCTTCTTTCCCACACCTATTTGTTAATTTGATGGAATACCTGCCTTAAAAAACATGAGGGGACAGCAAAATAACACAGGATAAAAACAAACTTAAAATGGCTCGGGTTTCATCTTGTAAGAAGAACAGAATTTATTTACAAAATAGTATCTGATCACATTTGAGCACTGGCGAAAGTAGTTAAATAGTTTTCAGAAAACTGTTCTTGTACCTTGGAGAAATCAGTCCAGAATTACTGTAGCCAAACTCCAGGCTTCCTTGTGGATGCCTGAACAGTACAAACACTGACCTAACTTGATACCCTTCAGCCTCTGTACAAGCACCTTTTTACATCAATGCCCTTTCAGTTATGTACAGATCAAACAATACAAGTCCTTATGTACAACAAAATGTGCTCTTCTCACAGTGTCAGCACAGGCTAATTTAACGGATTCATTAGGACAGGACTGACACTGAGGCAGTTCTCCTAGCTACAGTAGGATCATGTTTCTAGTCATCTGTACCAAAATGACAGGCTTGAATAGCTGCAAAGCGGAATGAAAGTACTCTAGTAAAGGGAAGGGAAGGACTTTTTACAGCATCTTTTACATTTAGCTCCCCACAACTTACAGTTTTGACATTTTGAGGCTAGTTTTTCAAGACAGCATGTTGGACTACCGGTGAACAGGAAATGGTACAACACTGTATCTAAGCACTTTTACTTTCCAACACTCCCAAGTCAAATGTGGTAGCAATATCTCCTAGGATCAAAGTTGCATGCTTACACTCACATGCTCACAAACGTGCAACTGCTTAAATTGTGCAAATGCTTAAACGTGTAAGCCTGAGTCAAAAACTTAATCACATCCACAATTTCAAGAAGCAATCACATTCAGCTAAGTTGCCACGTGGACTGTATCATGATACCAAACCAAGAATGCAACTTAGTGGTAGGGAAATTGGAAATATCTATATCTTCTCACTAGGTAAAAAACACTTCATATTTAACTACATGGAGCACTTAAAAAAAAAAAAAAAAAAGAAAAAAAAGAAAAAAAGCAGGTTAGGACAATTTTCTCCTTTTGCAGTCACAGGCAAACTCTATGACATGCAATTTTTATATAAGAAAAACTGCATTTCTAATATTTACCTGCTGCACCATTAAAATAATTCAACTCCATGAAGATATCTTAAAAATAAATCATCTATCATACACACCCATACACAGAACTACATTCCTAATAGAGAACCTGGGAACACAAATTTGGGTTTCAAAGTGCCAGCCAGTTCCATATTTCAGCATTCAGAGACTTAATGAGTTTCACAAACCTTTAGGAACTATCAGTTACCAGTCTCTCAGATCCTCATTACAGATATTTCATAGAACACAGTTTGACTTTGGTTTCAGTGCTGCCACCAAAAGAAAGAAAAGTGAAGTAAAGCGAAACTCTAGGAAAACCTTGAAGCCTTTAGATTATTAGCATATGAATAATTAAGGCTATATTAAAAAGTTGCAAGATATGTTTAAGAAATTTTTCTTTGGCTCAACAGGCCTGGGTTATTCTACGCCTTAGTGTAAAGTAACCAACTCTACCGTGCATTTTGGCTGCAAAACAGGTGTACAATAGAATGTCACTTGATCCTGCTCCTACCTTTTCATAGGTAATACTACCATTAAGGGCATGAACTGTAATTATGCTAAAACTTGAACTCCAGAACCTAGTCTTGTCTTCCAAACCACTGCTGTATATAAGTAGCAAGCCGATTTAGTACATTGATTAATGTACTGTCAGTTGATCATAAAATGAAATCATCCTTGTTTTTAATAACTGCGCTTGCATTTACAATAACCTATGGAAAGAACTGGGATAATTTGAAACAATATAAAAATAGACTACTGAAAGGCAGATAAATCATCATCTGAGACACTATTCTCTTTACATGCATAACAAGTAGACTTCTTTTAGAAAAGAAGCAACAGTAATCTCAAAATTGAATATGGTATGCAAATTTTACTGCAGCTGTCATTTTTATTTGTGTTCAAAAGGTTGTTCAATCCAATATTATAGGCACAAATTATCCTATAAGAGTTTATAAGATTTATGTAGGAAATAGTTAGAATTAATGGGAAAACAAATCAGCATGCAGGTCCTCTAGCATTTCTAAGTGTTCATTAAAGATATGCCAGCAATTCTAGAACAAATGACAGAATTGTAGGTACTGTTAGTCAGGACATCACACTTTTTTAACATATGGAACACATACTCCCCTGTTCACAATTAGGCAGCTCCCCTCCCACTTCATGAGTGATAAAAAGCATCTATGTAGTAACAATAATTGCTGATTTTACGGAAATGTGTGTGCATGTGTGCGCGCATGCATGTGATTTAGAGCCTAGGCCTCCTGATCATACATCAGAGCCTCACTCAGTTAGATGCTGCAAACACAAAGAAAGACAGTGCCTCCACCAAAAAGCTCACAATCTAGAGTAATAAAGGGAGCAAATATTTAGTATGTTTAGATCCATTTAAAGTTTACATTGGAATGACTGCATGGCTACATTTGGAATTTAGATCACACCATCAATACCTTGATATTTAATTGAAATAACAGAAAATTTAAATTAAATCTTTCCAATATATCTTCTCACAGATCACTTACCAATTAGAAGTCTAAAGTTAACTTAATGTTAATTGACCTGATAGGGAACTATCATAATGAAAATCTAATGAAGGCAAAAAAAGCTAAGTTCAATTCAGCTGTGTATATCATGTGGCTACAGAGTTGGCTCAGCTTGTATGACTTGAATTGCAAACCATGGCTGCTATGCTGTAATAAGTTTGATTGCTTACTATGTTTGGAGATGTTAATGCATGTAATATGTGTATGGTAATTTTTACGAAAAGTGAATCTTAAGAAAAGTTTCCAATTCTGATCAAGGTGGCTTGTTTTCTCAACTGCAGGGAAAAATTATGGTGCATTTCCAATTTCATTCTCTTTTATAGTTGAAAAAGGTTAATAAACATTACAGAACACAAAAGGAAATGTTACCATAATTAATTTTGTTATGAGTTTATGAACCTGAACAATCCAGGTATGCCATGTCTGCTTTTCTCTATTTTTATACTTTAAACAATTTGACCATGAGAACAAAAGATGATTCAAGAATATATTTCCAAACTACAACAAAGCTGTGAGGAGATGCATCTCTTCCCAAATGACAGGGAACTAAGCATCTGGAATGATCACCCAGTCATAAAATGCACTCACAATCCCTTTGATGTGCAGTCCAAGAACTACTTGTCAGAAGCCACTGGCTATGCTGTATACCCAGGACACCCTTTCTTTTGGAATTTCTGATGAAACAAGGAGAGCACTGTTGCACAATGGGATGTATTTAGCCCAATCTCAGTCACAGAATATTTATCTAATTTAACTTCAGTCAACTTTTAAACTTTTTTAGGTAAGTCAAAATCATGACACTAACACCCAAAGTATGAAGACCAACCTTGGATGATGATGGGATGGATACTGAGATCAGGCATGTCAGGATAAAAAGTTGTAATACAGAGTTAGCTATGATTAAAACTGTTCTTTTTTTTTTTTAATGTATGATCGGGACTAGAAGATTTCCTCCTTTATTTTCACTTACCCACTCATGCTTAAACTATACTTTGTTATTGCTTATATGATTTCCGTATTATCTATTTGCCTTTCTGTCTATTAACTCCTGAGTGACTGGACTGGAAATTGTGATTTAGTCAAAGCTGGCTTAGTTATTTTAGGTTTTATTTTTGTTGCCTCCTGGACAACACTTCCATTCATTAAAACAGGTTCTAAAATTGCTCATGACTACTGAGAGTGAATAGTGGTCTCCTACATTTGCTACCTCTATTACCAGTTTCAGACTCAGTCTGTTAGGTGAATCTTGCATGAAAATGGTGTGCTGTTTTAATGAAATGGAGCCTTAATGCATATTACTAAGTAATAATAAACAACGGAACAAAGCTATTCTTTCAAAATGATTTTAGCATAAGATGTTCATTGATGGATACAAACCTAATGACTTGATCACACTGGGCACACATTGGGGTACGCTTTCCTGCTGGAATATGCTCTGCTCTTTGAATTAAAGTGTCCTGCTCTGTTCGCTGAGGTTGCATTAAAGACTTGGTACTTGCTGCAGCTGCTCCAGATGGTGCAATACTGTTTGATGTCCATCCTTGTGCTGGAAAATAATGTACAAAAATATCTCATTAGCCTCAATGGAAGTAGAGTCATAAGTATGTTCAGTGCTTGGTTAATGTACATGTAGGCTGTTTACAGACGTAAAAAAGAAAACAGCACTTTACTTTAAACTCTGTGTGCTCCTGCACCAAAGCCTAGCATATGACCAGAAGAGGTACTGTGTTAGTTAGACCCGGCTCACCCAATGTCTGTGTACACCAAGTACTTTAGTGAGGCTTTTTTGGTGCTTTTAGCTAATAGGCAGTCGAATCAACTTTAGATCAGAGCCAAAAAGTGCTGCTGATGTGCCTGATCTATGTAGACACTGCAGAACCAGGTCAACTAATGTGGTGTTTCCTCCAGTAAAGAGCGTTTTTTTTTTTAACATCTGTAAGCAACCATAAATTATATGTAGTATATAAATTATTCAGGAAGAAGAGCAATATGGTACAATGATTTGAGATTTACATTTCCACCCAACATGGCTGATAACTGTCCACTGAAAGCATGCCAAAAGCCCCCTACATATCTTCTGCAATTTCTGCAAAAAGGCAATAAATGGTTTTCGGTCAACTGGGAGAAAGGACTATACAGAAATGGATATAAAAAAGAACAAAGATGACAGACCATGCAGCACAATGATTTCACCATGCTTTGGATGGGTTAGGCTAAAATGAACACTGCAAATACATCAACAGTAACAAAACAGTTTGAAAGATCCTGGAAGTGTGTTACTGAATATAACGAGCTTCTGCATTATCAAGTTGGAGTAAGAAAGTATGTACTGAAAATATGTAAAGACTTTAAAAGTATTATATTATAAAAAATAACATTTCCAAAGGAAATCATCTTGGATAATTGGAGAATTACCAACCTGTCACATGCCTCCCTCCCCCACCCCCAAAGTCCCAACCCTTTCACTAAAATGTGGAAATATTTTGCATGATTTAAAGTTAAATAATGTGCATGGGTTTCTTTTCATTTGTCTTCTAGTTTCTGAGGTTTTAAGAACATCTAGGACAAATTTTAAGACTTCTTACGAAAGCAGAAGGGTTAAGAACCACATGCACACACAATATTTAATACAAAATATTGGACTTAAAGAGAATAGTGAGAGTTGACAATACTTAATTCATTCTCTCCTGTCCCGCACATCACTTTCTGAATAAGATAGCAGAAAGTTGCCACCACTTCGCCAATGTAATTTTCTGCCTCCTTTGCACAACAAAGGCGGCAATCTGCACACCTAATGACTGGGAATGTGCTAGATGCTTAGAGAGAGATGGAATATAGCATTATCTGTAGGCTCAAGCCTACCTTCAGATTCAGAAAAATAGTCCTGAGGAGTTCTCTGGAACTAGGCCCCTGGCTGATGTTACACTTAATATATGATTACTCTGTTAATCAAAACTTAACTAGTAACATTCAGGCAATTAACAGCACCACAAAAAGGGAAATATGTAATAATTTTGGGGCTATTTCCATGGTGCCTTAAATTGAACATGTGGCAGGGTTAAGCCCAGCCAGGGTTACCCACCATCTCAGTGTGGTTCCCATCAGCCAACAATTAGCTGAACATCGGTTGGATTGGGACTACACCACGGCTGATGGAGCACCAGTGGCGGACTGTCCATAATGCTTGCAACTTGCTGATGCAGGGAGAGCTGGGATTATGATCCCAGGTTCCCCCCTGCACTGGCAAGTAGCACGCAACTGGGATCTGATCCTTGATCCAAAAGAGCATGTCCTACCAGCACATGTGGCATGCCAGGAAGTGCCACCACTGATAGCAGGGATCAGATCCCATTGGGCACCTATACGCAGCAGCGAGGCGGCTCTGACGCACTGCAATTGAAATGCATCGGGGCAGACTCAATTAATCAAGTCTGCTGGAACGTGGTAATTACCGTACTCCAGCAACCTCCAGCATCTCTTGCATCAGCATCCCCATGTTTAAAAATGGCAGCGGGGGCACTTTATCTAAACCTCATTCACTGAGCTTTAGATAAAGTGCCCCTGCCACCATTTTTAAGCGCGGGGACACTAATACATGAGACGCTCCAGGTGCTTTAGTTAGAGCAGTTCTTTGCGTCACTCTAATTAAAGCACCCGCTCCCCTCCCCCTGGGAACACGTGTATAAACGCCCATTGTGCCTTTAAATGAATGTCTGTCAGCGGCCTTAATTATTTTCAAGTCTTTAGTACTTTCTTCAGGCAACATCGATCAATGTGATCTGGGACTTGTTCCATCAGGTGGTTAGATAGTGAATCTGAAGTTTGGTTTAATTATTTGAAATATGTTGAATTATTTGGTAAGGAACTCTACAGACTAGGTCTCCCAAGAGACTCGATAATCTCAATCAAATGAAATAACCAGTTCTTTAGGGTTTGTCTATATTAGTAAATAGGCTACAGCAGATGTTCTTAAAATGAAAAAGGATTGCCCACACAGAGGCAGTGCAGAGGAGCTACTGTGCATAAATCCACACACTTATTTTGCAATAGATTCCCATATAGACAAACCTTTAATCTCATTTTTCTCATCAATGGAATGAAAAAACAACTTTACGCATTCCTGAATAACTAGTCACTGAAATAGAAAATAAGTTTTCAAAATGGTCTAAAAATGCATGTTTTATTACTTTAAAGAAATTAAAAGGCTGCATTAATTAAATCAAGTAAGAACAAACATGAAAAGTACATTATAAAGCCATATCCACTAGTCACCCAATATGATTTGCTAAACTGTTTTCTGTTGTAAGAATACTTAGAAGCAAAGAGAATCAATTCCTAGAATTTGAAGTAAAAGTGAGAGGAGGGAGGAACCAATTACCAGTGGGGGCACATTGCTCACAGGAGGGCCACTCTCTGTCCAATCTCTCAGTCCTGATCCTCAAGGGAAACTTACACAACACTTCCCAGAGACGAGCCTATGAGCTCCATTTCATCAACCTACTGGATACTAGAGATCATGGACTAAACATAGACACTGGATTTTTGATACATTATAATCTGCCTGGCAACTGACTCCCCAGCCCAGCCCCTGGCTTCTTTACTTTTCATTCCATCCAGGAAGAGCACACACCAACTGCTGCAGCTTCCTTAGCCTGACGAAGGGTTCTTGAACCCGAAAGCTTGCTTAATAACTATTCTCCAACTATTTGGGTTAGTCTAATAAAAGATATCAAATTCACCCAAGGAACCTTGTCTGCCTATGTCCTTAGACCAACACGGCTATAACCTACACCCCTGCAAGAGGGAGGAACGACACTTTAGAGTCGGAGAACTGCATCATCCAGCAATGACATGAACCTGGCCTACTTCGGCATTGCTTAACCAGTCTCAGGAATTTACACCAGAATTCAGTTGATAAATTATCAGAAGGAATCCTGTACATTTATCTAAGCAATCACTTTTGAGAGCTCTAGAAGTTATATTGCCCATGTATGTCTATGTATTAAAAACTTCAAATTTAGATGCTTCATTGCTTTTGCTCTCAATAGTATGAAAACACACATTCAGAGGTGTGAGATGACCACTTTGAAGTTGTTAACAAATCACTCAAACACTACACAACCATGACTCAGGCTCATATACCAAAGGACATTCACAGCTATACACCTTGAGCAAGAGTGCAGTAGGCCAAAAAAGTCAACTTTCTTCCCCCTACCCCTTGCATAGATGTAGCCTAAAATACCAAATACCAGTGCCATATAAAATAGATGTGCTTCACACAGAAGAGGAAATCATGATTAATAGGTCTTAATAAAGACGTAGGATTTTTTTTTTTGTCAGTCACTTTAATTTCACTACCACTGAGAAGCACCAGTATATGGAGAAGCTTTTGATCACTCTGTATTAAGCTTCCTCAAGTGCTTCCCTCTTGGTTTTCTTAGCTATGGATTCTTTAGCCCTTTTATATCCTAGACTAGCCTAACAAATCAGTATGACATTGGAAACAGAATTTTTCTTGCCAACCTGTTAGAGAGAGAAGGAGAGGGAGAGAGTGAGTGAGCGAGCTCTTTCTTTCTTATTCCAGGCAGTAGTGGGCTTCAAATTTGTCCCCAAATAGTCGATGGGGATTGAAGTGAAAATTTGAACAGGACTACAGAAAAAACAAGTATTGGCATATTGTATACAGATATCAGTCATTTCTTACTTATTTAATCAGATAGCTATGTCCAACCAACTATATTTAAAAAAGGAAAGGAGACCTAAATAAAGGCTTTCAACTATACTTCCATAATGATCTGTGCTACAGGCTGTCATCCAAGACTCTCCAAGGGCATCCTACAATTTCCCAAAAGTTTTACATTTAAGTGTTTCCTAACTTTTAATCCCTTGCTGAGGACTTTTACCTGGAAACATTGTGGGAAGCCAAGTCTAGGTTTAAAGCAACAAAGCACGCTTATTTCTTTGGTTCTGATGAAGCCTAGATATAGAATCCTGCAATGATTTAGTCAAAGAGAAAAGGAGACAAAGAGCTGGGTTTAAAACTAACAGTTTACTGAGAAGAAAAATCAAAGCAAGAAAACTGGAATATGAAACACAAAGAAGATACTGTTGCTAAAGGAAGGAGCAAACAAACAACTTTCTGTTTCACTCCCTTTCTGGCTATTATTAAATGCACCTTAGTAACACACAAGCTGTGGCAAGGTATGTTTTTGGAAGTAGTTACTCTCCAATTTTAGGAATCTGTGTATGAGAGAGAGAGCTACGAACTGACAAAAAGTAGTACAAGATCAGACATGGGGAAAAAAATAAATCATTACTGGCTTTGGGTTCTAGCTTTAGTGAAGCAGTACTCAGCCCTATTAGCTGGAGAGCCACTCAAGCATGAGTTAAGTGAAAGAGTGATACCCTGAGATCTGTACTGTATGCATGTATGTATCTATTGTAGTTATTTATATTTGCATTGTGAAGATAAAGTGCCCTGACACAAGGTCATTGCATGTGGATGTAGTTTTGTCAAGACATTTTAATGCGACTAATTTCTGCAGT